CTCATCCAATTTTTCTGGAAACGTTACAATTTTAACATTTTTTCTGGAAAAGTTTCCCATTTTTCTGAAAATTTTCGGACTTTTAAAACCGTAGACCTAAGCGCCCGGAATCGCCTCCTTACTCGGGGGCGCGCGGCGACCCCGGCGGGGTGTCGCTGGGCTCCGCTTCGAGGCGGCTGCTGGCGAGCTCGCTGCAGGAGGGAGCGTCGCCGTCGCACAGGCACGCGCACGAGTCCGCGGCCGACGGGGCCGCCCCGGGCCGCCACCGCCGCCGCAGCCAGGGGCCCTCGCATACGCAGCAGAACTCGCCCGTCTGCCCCGCCTGCCCCGTAGAATCGAGCAAAGAATTGCACCGTGAGAGACTGCATCCATGGCATGGCCTGTGCCTGTCCCAGATGGAAAGGATCAGTCCGTGTAACTACGTTTGTGAACTATAGTTTGACTAAAGTTCAACTGAAATTGAACCATAGTTAAACTACGGTTCGACGCCGCGCCGGTACGAACTACAGTTGGGTCAGCCGACGCGTGTCACCTTGCCCTCCGCCTGAGGGATCATCCAGAAAGTCCGCCCGTCATTCGCCGTGCCATGTTTCGTCGACGCAGCCCTCCTAGCGCCTGGTAGGTAGGCAACATCGTGCCTGCTGTGCATGCGCGTACTGCGGGTTGGCCTATTCTGAATCTCGCAGGCACCGACCTCCCGTTATTTGCCCAGAGAATCAGGGGGGGGGGGAACGGGCGTACTTTCTGGACGATTCGCAAGGCTTCGCCCTCACCTCCCAGTCAAAGTCCCGGCCCTCGCACGCTCGGTCGTACTCGTCGTCGGGCAGCTGCAGGACCTCCTTCACCGTCGGCCTATTGGGCGGGATGGCGAGCCGCACCATGGCCCGGAGGCCGGCCGCGCGCCCCTGCAAGCCGAAGTGCGCCCCTAAGGGTGGACTGACCTCCCGGCGCACCGGACCGACGGCCTGCGGGGGAGGTCGGCGGCGGCGGCCACCGCCCGAGGCTCACCGCCTGGCGGACGCCTTCCTGGACCTCCCGCTCGATCCGCTGCGTCTCGCGCTGTGTGGCCGACTTCCGGTCGGCGCGGCCCGCGATCCCGGGGCGGTTTTTGGAGGACGGCTTTGCTAGGCGGGCGTCCTCGCGCTCACGTCGAGCGTCCTCACGGTGGACGCGCGCCCTGGACATGCCCAGGAGGGAGGCCATCTGCGCCTCGGCAGACTTGGGGCGCCACGTCGGCAGCCCGTCCTGTAGGGGATATGAGATCGGGGGTTTCAGAAAACGAGACGCGTACGTCGTCCGCACCAACCGCGCCGGACTGCACGTCGGAGCTGCTCGCCTTGCTCTTTCGGTTCGTCGTCTCGGAGGGCGTGTCCCGCAGCTCGAAGAAGCTGCACGCGGAGGACGACGCCCTGGACGTGCGGAGCCCGCCCGCGCGCAGGCCGGGGCCGCCGGGAGACAGCCGGGACATCTTCGCTAGTGAGTGCTGCGACACGAGACGTTCAAAATGTGGAAAAGAAAATCCCTGCTCCTAGCTCGCGCGCGCCGTTGCCAAGAAATGGCGGAGCTAGGCGAGCCGAGTCAGAAACAATGTGAACCTCAGCTCAGCCCCGGCCCGCCAACCCATCATCAGCACGCACCGTGTGTTTTAGAACAGTACAGTCCTGGGGGTTGGCATACTCGCTGGAGCCGCATGGGCCATGGCGCCTTACGGGCGAAGGAAGGGAGTAGGCCAACCCGCAACACTGCTGTGTACGCTACCCGGCACCTGGACACGCTACTCGCGCGACACGCACTAAACATCAGGAAACAACCACAAACATCACAATTTTTTATCATTTTTCTGAAATGTTTGCAATGTTGCTATGAGCACTGCAGTTGTTACCCACCCTTACACCACGGCACAAACCGACCCGCCCCTCGCACACAGCGGAAGGAAGTGATGACTGGTCCGAGTACTTTGCCTTGGCGCCTTGGCACTGGCCCGTGGGACTACCTCCCATCCCCCCTCCCTCCTCTTCTCGCACTCTTCGGCTGAATCCTTCCTTGCCTCGCGCGCCCCGCGCACGGCCAGGGTCGGCGTCGTTGTTTTAGCGACCGGCCGTCAAGTGGGGGGTGGGAGGGGCGGTTGAGCTCCACCAGGACCAAGCACGGGGGAGGGGTAGGAGAGGTAGTTATCGAGGTCTCAGCCAAGTGCAAGGCTGTATTCGGACACGCACCTGGCCGGCGCACTCCGACGCATCGCCGGGCACATCGCGGGCGAGCGCTTCCGGCCGTGGTGGCGGGGAGGGCCAGGGCCGGGCTGGGGTCGGGGGAGGCTGGCCATGTACCCTGACCTTGCACACCGCGAGGCAGCTGGGGGCAGGAGTGGGGGGACGGGGGTGGAGAGGGTTGTGGGGATGGCAGCGCTGACTATAAGACGTCAAACTCGCACCTGAGGACAGCAAGACCCCCTCCAACAGTTCTCCGAGCGCCGCGAAGCAGCCGCCAGTCACAGCGACCAACACACCAGTCCACACCATGACGGCTGTCCGACCACCGGCTGCGCAGGTGAGCGCTCGTTGTCCGTGAAAGCCTACAGACAGGCGGGTCGAAAGGGCCGCCGCTGCCGCTGCTGGTCTCCGACGCTCTCCGGTCCCGCCCGGTCGCTTCGGCGCCTGCAGCAGGTAGGGTAGGCCACCCGCCCAACAGGCGTGTCGCGCCGTCGCCTACCCTGGCGCCGTCCCCGACAAGTGAGCTAAGCAGAGTGCGGGCGAGAGAGGTGAGCACCGTACCGCCGCGCTTTGGGGCAGTGTTAGGTGGTCCAGAACTGTCCGCTTGCCCGCGTCGAAGGTGTGGGCGTCGAGCACTTAGCGTAGGGCGACAAAGCCCGTCGACTCTGGTGCGTGTCTCGTGGCTCCGTGGCTCACTGCCTGTCCGTTTGCAGCGGCGGATGCAGCTGCTGTGTCTGGCCGTGCTGGGCCTGGCCGTCGGCGGCGCGCGCGGCTCCGGGCACGGCCTCAGCGAGTACGAGTACGAGTACGACGAGCTACCCCGGGAGCACCTGGCGCCCCTGACGCGCTTTGGCCGCGACACGGAGCACGTCCAGCATGTTCCAGCTGACGCACCACGTGCACCCGGGGCCGCCGACGCCGGCGTCGTCCAGCGGGTGCCGCGCTCCCCCGCCACTGCGCTCCAGGAATCCGCCGCCCCCGAGGCCGCCGCCGCCGAGGCTCAGCAGCAGCCAGCCGCACCAGCAGAACAACGGCCTCCAGGGGCACGGCGCCACGCCGCCGAGCAGCCACAAGTCCCTGAGCCAGCGACTGAACTTGAACCCCCTCCGCGCGTGGAAGGCGCTGAGGAAGACGTTTCGACGGAGCAAACACCACAAGTACCAACCGCTGTTCCCAAACATGGGTGAGTTTGTGCGCCCTGCAAGTTTGCGTGAAAGAAAGTCTTTTGCGTTGCACGGAAAGCGCCTGTAAGGCAGAGAGTAGGCAATCCACCCACACCACGGTGGCCTACCTCCAAGGAGGCTGCATTGTCAGCTTGTGTCCCCACTACCTGGACATATTTCCGATCACACACTGCCGGCCAGTGCCACAGATGATTGTGACTGTGTTTGTCATGACTGTTCGACAGGCTAGGTAAGGAGGACATGGAGACGGCCAACTTCTTCTGGGGCCTGGGCCCCGTCTACCCGCACCTCTACGTCTATCGCCGAGTGCCGCACTTGGTGCCGCTGCACGGATGGAACCCTTACCACGCCTACCTCCTCACCCACCCTTCTAGATAGTGATAAAAATGTTTATGTTTTTTGTTTGTTTTTTATAA